ACATTGATGAGAGAGAACATCGATTGGCTGCCTCCTGTGTGCCCCCCACTGGGGATTTGGCCCACAACCTGGGCATGTGCCCTGACTGGGAATTGAACCAGTGATCTCTTGGTGCATGGGTCGATGCTCAACCACTGAGCCACCACACCAGCTGGGCTCGACAGTTTTAGTATAAAGTATCCTGGAGTTCTTTTTGCATTGGCATAATTAGGTGTTCTGTTTGCTGCTGCCTTTTTTTTTTTTTTTCCCTGTATGATTCCATTTATATGAAATTCTAGAAGAAGCAAAAGTAACCTATAATGACAGGAAGCAAGCCCCAGTCTGAGCCTCAGGGCTGGTGGGTGATTGACTGCAAAGGGGTGTGAGAAAGCATTTTGGAAGTATATTTTGATTGTGGTGGTAATTGCATGGGTATATACATTTGTCAGAATTCATGAAATGTACTCTGAAAATGGGTGCATTGTAATTGCATGCAAATTATACCTCAGTGAAATTTTTGTTTGTTTTTTGTTAATGCTCACCCAAGGATATTTTTTCCATTGATTTTAGATAGAGTGGAAGGGAGGGAGGGATGGAGAAAGGAAGGGGAAGAGAGAGAAAGAGAAAAACAATGTGAGAGAGACACATTGATTGGTTGCCTTCCATATGACCCAGAACGGGGTCGGAGATTCAACCTGCAACCCAGGTACATGCCTTTGAGCACAAATTGAATCTGAGACCCTTTGCTCTGCGGGCTGATGCTCCAACCGCTGAACCAAACTAGCCAGGGCTCCACTGACTATTTTAGATAGAGTAGAAGGGAGGGGGAGAGAGAGAGAAACATCCATGTGTCCACATTCGATTGATTACTTCCTGCACGACCCCTACCAGGGCTGGTGATCGAATTCGCACCCCAGGTATGTGCCCTTGACTACCCGTGACTCATTGGTCCATGGGCGATGCTCTAACCACCGAGCTAAACCAGCCAGGGCTGAAGTTGATTTTTAAAAGGGGACAGAAAGAGAAGGCAGCAAGGACAAAATACCCACATTAAATATAACATGAACTTGCCCTGGCCGGTTTGGCTCAGCGGTTAGAGCGTCGGCCTGTGGTCCAGAGAGACCCGGGTTTGGTTCCCGCTAAGGGCACGTACCTACGTTGCATTTTGTCCCCAGCCCTGGTTGGGTCGTGCGGATGGCAACTACTCGATGTGTTCCTTTCATGTCAATGTTTCTCTCTCTCTCTCTCTCTCTCTCTCCCTCCCTCCCTCCCTCCCTCCCACTTGATCTGAACAAAAATCAAAAAAATGTCCTCGGGTGAGGATAAAAAAAAAAGTATGTGTGTGTGTATTAAAAAAAACACGAACTCTGTCGGTTTTATTTATTTTTTTAGAAAAACAAGAATTTATTGACTGCAACAAAAACACACTCATGACAGTGAAACGAGGAGGGGCTTAGGATAGAAGCAGCAACAGGAGACCTGGGCTGGGCTGCCTTGGCTCACTGGAAGTCAGAGAAAAGGGGCCCTGGAGACAGGTTCATGGGCTTAACCGGGACAAGCTGCCGCTGCTGCCCATTGCTGCCCTGGTTGTGTGTCATGGGGTGTCCCTTGGAGTGTAGGGGGTAGGTGTGTGCCTGTGAGGGAGAGCATGGGAAAGGGCACAGCTTTGCTCCCTGGATGGAGTGCATTCTGTTAGCTTGAATTTGAGGAGCCAGCTCTTTCCATAGATTTGGTAAGTTCTCATAAGTTACTTGTTTGAAGCTCTCTGTTCCCTTCTGCCCTTCTGTTTTCTGGTACACCTATTATCCTTGTTTCTCTTTCTAACGGAGCCAGATGGTTCTCAGAGTTCTTTCGTTTTTTTTTTAAGTCTCAGTTCTCTCCCACCTGAGTCATTTCCAGATTTCTATCTCTGAGCTCCCTGAGTCTGCCTGCCTTGTGGCCGGCCCTGTTTTTGGTGCTTTCAGTTCACTCTGCGTCTCACTCACCGAATTCTTGAACTCCAGAATTTGGTTCTTTTTATAGTTTCAGTCTCTTTGGTAAAGTCCTTTTGTTTGTAGATTGTATTCCTTAGCTCATTGAATTGCCTTACTGAGTTTTTTCCTAACTGCAATCTTGAGTTCTGTCATGAAAATTTTTATTTTATTTTTAAATATATTGTTTTTAAAATCTTTTTAGAGGGAAAGGAAGGGAGAGATAGAAACATTGATGTGAGAGAGAAACATCGATTGGCTGCCTCCTGCACACCCCCTGCTGGGGGTCAAGCCTGCAACCCGGGCATGTGCTCTGACCGGGAATCAAACCAGGATCTCTCAGTCCACGGACGACGCTCAGTCCACTGAGCCACACCTGTTGGGTGAATTCTGTCATTTAAATCATAGTATTCCATGTCATGGAGTTTGGTTTCTAGAGACTTCTTTCTGAGCTACCTTGTTACCTTGGTTATTCATGCTGCTCGATGGATTGTTCTCTGCCTGGGCACTGGAGGCAGTGAGCTCTTTTTTTATGTCCTGTTTTTTGCACAGTTCAGCAGGTTGGGAAGTATAGGTCTTTCTTTTGTTTTCCAGTAGATGGTGCTATAGTGCAAGTTTTATCTTACCTGCTCTACTGGCACCTCCGGGATCTCAGTGGGGCAGTGTTGCCCCAGTCATGGAAAATGCCCTGTAATTCCCCAAGGAGGTCAGTGTCCCCTCTGTGTCTGGATCACCTCGGTCTCAGTACCATCCCTGTGGTAGGATATGGTGGGCATTGGGGCTACAGGCCTGGGAGTTCCTGGCGCTGCCTCTTTATAACTGGGGACTGCCATCTGAGGGGTGTCTATCCCAGGTTCCACCATGATGGGTGGTAGGAGTGGGCAGGGGGAGCTGGGTTCACAAGACTGCAGCTTTGCCTTCTTGCTAGTACTGGCGACCCACCAGTCTGCTGCTGCCATGACACCACTGTGCTGAGTACTGTGCCATGTTGCAGCCCAACTTAGCTGTAGTTGGAGCCTGCTACTCAGGCAGGAATATTGTTTCTGCCCATCCTGCCCTTTTGGCTGCCCAGTGAGGGCTGCAGCCTGACTCCTTCCCCACTACTGTGTCAGCTGCGCAGCACCGGGGGGGGGGGGGGGGGGGGGGGCGGTTTTTTGTGTCTGCTGCACTGTGACTCCGCCCTTGTTGTTGGGTTTAGCTGCAATAAGTGCCACCCACTCAGGCTGCAGTGTTACTTCTGCCCCTGTGCAGTTGTGAGAGGTGCAGCCTGACTGTTTCCTGCTCTCATATCAGCTGGGGCCGTGGTGGGCACCAAACTGCATCTGTAGCCTCATCTCCCCTTCCTGTCCTGCCTCCCTGCTTGCTGCCGTACACCAGCTTCAGACATCTCCCAGTGGGGTCCGCAAGTGTGTGCTGAGCAGGGAGTCTTTTGTCGGGTTTTATTGTCCAACTTGGAGCTTTATGATGCTGATGTCACTCTTCTTTTAGCCTATAGATGTCCGGTTGCTGCAGCACCCTTATCTTTCCTCAATCGAATTCATTTTTGCATCTTGGGCAGCCCTGGCCAGTTTGGCTCAGCGGTTAGAGTGTTGGTCCGTGGACCAGAGAGTCCCGGGTTCGGTTCCCGCTAAGGGCATGTACCTTGGTTGCAGTTTGTCCCTGGCCCTGGTTGGGGTTGTGTGTGTGTCTCATTGATATTTCTGCCCCCCACCCCCCTCGCTCTATCTGAAGATGAATGCAAAAGTGTCCTCAGTTGAGGATAAAAAAAAAATCATTTGGGAATAGTTGTGTCTATTTCTGGGTTGTGTATTGTGTTCTGTTGGTCTGTGTCTACCAGTACCACTGTCATGTTACTGAGGCTGTACACAGGCTCACCTCAGCTCACGGCACGTCGCAGGTGTTGCACGGCTTACCAACGGCAGGCAAGGCCTCCACCAGCAACACTGCGACTCCCTGGACCAAACCTGCAGTCTCCGAGATAGTCTGTAATGAGTTTTGAAATCTGGTAGATTAATTTTTCCTACTTTATTCTTTTTCAAGATTGTTTTAGCTATAAATTTAAAAATAATCTCATCTACCTCAACAAAAAAATCTTGCTGGGATTCTGGCAGGAATTTCATTAAATCTCTTTATCAGTTTGGGGAGAATTGACATTGTTGTTATGTTGTATCCTCCCAGTTCATGAAATATAAGTCTCCATTTATTTAAATCTTGATTTCATTCACCAGTGTTTTGTAGTTTTCAGCATACAAGTCCTTATGTATTTTGTTAGATATACAACTAAGTATTTTATTTTTAGAAGCAATTGCAAATGGTATTTTGTTTTTTAATTTTTTATCTTCACCTGAGAGTGTGTTTATTGATTTTATTTTTTACTCCTCATCCTAGGACATGCTTATTGATTTTAGAGAGGGGAAAGGGAGACAGAAACATTGATGTGAGAGACACATTGGTCCTTTGCCTCCCGTATACAGCCCAGGTATGCGCCCTGCCAGGCACCTGCCTATAGCCGTCGGTGCACGGGATGGGACGGCACCCAGCCAGGGCACTGCTTTGTGGTCACATGGTCATTGTTAAATGTGGAAATAGGTTTCGTATATTCATCTTACATCCTGAGTCTTGCTGAACTCTTATTCTAGGTGTTTTTTGTAGATTCCTTAGGATTTCCTACATGCATCAGTGTGTCATCTGCACGACAGTGCTGATGCCCAGGTCCCACCCCAGGAATTCTGAGTTGTCTGGACATTGGAACTTTTAACTTTCCCTTGTGATTCTAACAAGCTGCCACGGCTGAGAACCACTGCTCTTTGAACTTGTCTGTCGACGAGCAGAGGTGCCTTGAGTGTGAGGGCCGAGTGCCCAGACTGCCTGCCCTGCACGAGGGGCCACCTTGCTGGCTGGTGGGGTCGTTGACAGGCCTGTGCTTGGGCCCTGGGCCTAACGGCCTGGCTGCTTCTAGCCCAGAACACACCAGTTTTAATGAACACAAAATATTGATGCGTATAAAACAGGTATTTTTGTCCCCATCTTCTGGATGGGGAGCCCCCTCCATGGACTAGAGGGCCCGTTTCTCACTGGGCCCCAGCATCTGGGTGAAAGCTGGCTCTGTCCCCACAGGGCAGGGCTGCCCATGGGGAGGGAAGGTGTGGGGCTCTGGTCAGCTTGGTCGCGCAGTGAGAACAGCCTTTCCCTGGCCTGAGAAGGCGGTCACGTCAGAGAGAGAAGTGTTGTGGAACGGATGTCTGCCCAGGTCAGTGCGCAGTGAGGGGCTGCACCTTCATCCTGGAGCCAACCCCTCACCCACAGCTCAGCTCTTCAAGGCTCCCTTTCTGGCACCAACGGACCCAGCCCTGCCGGGAGCATGTCTACCAGCACAACCTGGACAGTGGAAAAGGAGGGTCCATTTGGGGAGTGCGTCCAGTTGGGTCCTAGCTGTACCACCAGTTAGCAGCTGGGGCAGGAGCAGCTGTGCTCCTGTGCTTCCCTTCACAGGTGTGCTGGGCCCGGGTCCTGCCTCGGAGGTGAGGCGACAGCCGCTGCAGGTGTAGGTAAGGGCTCAACTCCGGTGCCAGGGTGGCGCTAGCGCCTGTGGCAAAGTAGGGTTACGGGCCACCACCCCAAAAGCTGAGTGGGCCACAAGTAACCCCAGCACCCAGGCACTTCACCTTTACAAGGAGTTACCAGCTGGCCGAGAGAGGGGTCAGGGCAGGCCTGACTGGAGCCTTTCAACAGTGGGCACAAGGGTTTTCTCAAGTAAGTTTAGCTCCAGCTCCTCAGTCTTAGGGCTTCTGTGGCAACCAGGTTGGTACTGGACTTTCATGGGGCCTCAGACCTGCTGAACAGCCCCTCCAGACCTGACATCAGAGTCCCTAGGAACAGCTGTCCAGAGCCACTCCAGACACCACCAGGAAGAGTCACTGGGAAACCCCTGTCCAAGGGCACTGGCCAGTGTGCACTGAGTCACCACCCAACAGGAAACGACGCCCTTGGAAGGTAGGAGCTAGAGCAGCCTCCTTGATGGAGGCTCACTGGGCACCAGGGACGTCTAGCACCAGCCCTCGGCGGAGGCTTAGGCCTCTTCAGCTTCTGCTCCATCCGGAACACCAGTCTCCGCTGTCCCTTGTCTGGACCCTCCTGGGTTCTGCTCCAGCCTCTCCAGCAGGGAGCTGCTGCCTCTCCCTGCAGCCCGGCTCTGAGCTGCTGCTCAGCACCGACAGGGCTGCCCTGGAGGCCTGAGCAATCAGGACCGAGGTCAGAGCCACAGACAGTGTGAGGGTGGGAGGAGACGGGGTGGAATGGTGGCTGTGGGGCGCTGCAGGTCTGCGGCCGTCAGCACCGACTGCGGGGATGCCCCACGTAAGCCTGCAGAGCCTCGCGGATGGCCCGCTGCCAGTCTCGGGCCAGCTGCACTGGGGTCGCCAAAGCCTAGGAACAGGTTGCTGGGTCAGTCCTCTCCTCTCGGTGCTCCTCCCCCACCCTCCTGGTCCAGGCGGCGGGCGCACCTGGTTCTGCACGTCCAGCTGAGCTCCGTAGAGCAGCAGCACCTTCATGGCCCTGTGGTGGCCGTGCCGCACGGCCTCGTGCAGAGCTGTGTCCCCCTCCTGTGGAGAAAGGGCGTTGGCGCTCTCCCTCCCGGGAGCACATCTCCTAAGTTTAAGGGACCCCACTAGACTTGCAACTAGGGGAGCAGTGGGCAGCGGCAGCTCCTGGGCTCAGCCCCTGAGCCTGTCTCCAAGGCCCCCTTTTCTCTGACTTTCCCCGTGAGCACAGCAGCCCAGCCTGGGCGCTCCTGTGGCTTATTCTGCCCTAAACCCTTGTTCCCCTGTCCTCAGCTTCAGTAAACATACCCTCAAAAAAAAAAAAAAAAAAGGGACATTAACCCTCCTAACCTCCCCAGCTGTGGGAAGGGTTGGGCCTGCAGGTGCGGTCCGAGCTCAGGTGCCCTCGGTAAACCCCCCCTCGGCCCCCCAGCTGCCCCAGGTAAGCGCCTGCCTTGTCCTGCGCGTTGATGTGGGCTCCGCACGCGATGAGGTGCTCCAGGCACTCGCAGTGGCCCATGCGCACGGCCACGTGCAGGGGGGTGCTCCAGATCTAACAGGCAAGTGCGAACGTCACTCGAGTGACAAGGCTTCATCCCGACCCCAAAGGGTGGTGCTTCCTCCAGGAACAGTCTGCTCTGCACAGGCCACCCCACTGTGATGTGCCCTCACCTTGTCCCGGGCGTTGACCTGGGCTCCGTGGTTAAGCAGCTGTTTGAGGATGTCCAGGTGTCCTCCACGGCAGGCCCAGAACACAGGCGTCCTGTCCAGCTGTAAAACAAGCACCAAGCCTGTGCCATGCTGTGTGCCGGCACGGCCTCAGCTGGGGGGACGAGCCTTCTCGGAGTCTCACCAAGTCACGAGTGTCCACAATGGCCCCTGCCTCCAGCAGCTTGTTCACAAGCTGGCCGTGACCCTTCAGGCAGGCCCAGTGCAAGGCCGTGCGGTGGAGCTGGCGGGGAGACGAAGGTTAAGCAGAGGGCGGACAGCCACCTCTAGGGGTCCTGCCCTAATCCCATTCCCAGGGCTGGTGCCCCAACAGAGCTCCCTGCTCCTTAATCATGTGAAGAGCCCCTCCCTCCCGGCTCAGGAGGTGCTGCCATTGGCATCCTATAAAACAGAAGAGCCTGCCCTGGATGGTGCTGCTCAGTGGTTAGGAGTGTTGGCTCACGCACTGAAGGGTCACAGGTTTGATTTCCTGGCCCTGGTCAGGACGCATGCAGGAGGCAACCAGTCCATGTCTCTCACATTGATGTCTCTCTCTTCTCTTTCTGCCTCTCCCTCCTTCCCTTCCACTTGCTCTAAAAAAAAAAATCAATAGAAAAAATATCCTTGGGTGAGGATTAACAAAAACAGAAAACCTGTGGTTCCTAGGCTGAGGCTGGGACTGGGGCGCCCTTGCAGCTGCTGAGCTGCTCCAGTTCTCCTGCCCTGGCTACCTTGTCACAGGCATTGGGGTCCCCTCCGTCTGACAGGTACTTGTCAATCAGGGCCTCCTGGTTCTCAGCTGCTGCCTTCAGGAACATCTCCAGGTCCACGGACTTGGGCTGGGCCTGGGGCTGGGGTTGGATAAATTAAGGACAAAAGCAAATCAATCTGCAAACTAGGCCTCAGGAACATCACCAAGTCATTAGTCACACCAAGTGGTCTCCACAGAGACACTGTCAACTTGTACAAATGATAGGTTTTTAAAATGCTCCCCAGGAGATTCTGACCATTCGGTGTCAGGGATGGGGGGTTGTGGGTTGACTTGTGTCCCCCCAAGTTCGTATGTTGGAAGTCCTGACCTCTGGATCTTCAGAATGTAACCTTATCTGGAAGCAGAGTCCTGCAGCTGTAGTTTAATGAGATGAGGTCCTGGGCGGGGGGGCCCTAACGCAGTATAACACATCCTCACAAACGGACAGTCAGACACGCAGCCAGGGAGAGGCCATGTGAAGGGAGGCAGAGGTCGGGACGATGCATCCACAAGCCAAGGAAGCCACGCTACTGCCGCGCCGGAGCTCGGACAGGGGCTCAGACAGGCCCGGACGGACCAGCCCACCGCCTCTGATCTGACTTCCAGCCCGACTGGCGCTGTTCCCGCAGGCAGCTCCAGAAAGGCTCCGGAACGGGCTGTCCGCTCAGCCGTCACGGCGGCACGGGTGAGGCTGGCAGTGCCCGCCCTTCCCCACGCCCTCCCACAGACACACGGAGCTCTTCCTCGGGAGCTGAAGCTTGGGGGGTGCCTCCCAACACCCCAACTTCCCACTCACCTTAACCACAGGCTCCGGCGCCCTGGGGGGGACTCTGCGTTTCAGTCGCTTTTCTCTTCGTCTCTGAACCAAGTTTTCCAAGTCAGCCAGAGTGTCCAGATTAAGCCTGGAACTCTTAAATCTCTCCAGCTGGGGCAGCAGACAAGACCATGCCAGCCATCAGCGAGGGTGACGGGGGCCTGGGGACAGGCCCGTGTTCGCATCCCCATCTTCCTGCCCACAGCAAAACGCCAGCCACTCTGGCTGCCACCCCGGCCCCTGCTCCCCAGCCCTCACCGCTCAGGGCCTGTCCACCCCCCGTGGGACCAGCCCCACAGGCCGTCCCTTCCTCACTCACTCGCATCCTCTTCTCTTCTTCCAGTTTCTGCCTCTCCTGGGCCACGGCCTCCTGGGGTCCCAGCCTCCAGTCGCCTGGCACGCCTCTGGGACCTCCATGTCCACATCCCAGCACTTTCCTTTCTTCTCTTTCTCCACTTACCTGTGGGGGCAGGAGAAGGATGAAGAAAGCTGGAGGGGTCCTTAGAGGACCCAGCTGGGCCGACCCTTCCCAAAGCTCACGAGGCAGGGTGCTGCTGGCTCACCAGCTGCCACCTGCCCTGTCCTGTCAGCAAGGGCACAGGGTTGGGGTGTGACCCCACATCTATTTATACTGCTGGGCTTGTGTCCAGGGGAGCTCAGGGCACATGACACCTCCACTTCCCTCAGGGGTTGCTGCCCTTACATTCCCACCGGATCACGCCACAGTGCCGCCGACCCCACGCTCAGAGGGACAGAGCAGTTGCCTCCTGGGAACAAGCCTGAATTCCTGGGTTCCGAGCTCGGCCCTTCACAGAGCTGTGTCTCCATCAGTGAGAGGGTAAAACTAGCACTCAGAGCTGTGCTGTGGCGGAGCTCACCAGTGCCCCCTGCTCCTCCCTGGCCCCACCCAGGGCAGCGGGAGCTGGAAGCACCCAGGAGTGCGCTGTGAGGGGAGAGGAAGGCTGGGTGACAGGCTGGCAGGGAACTGCATTCTTTCCAAGCAGACACTGGCAACCTAACACTCCTCAGGCCCTGCAGCCCCCCTGCGGGGCTGCACCAGGCTGGGGCACGCTATGCCCCCCCTCACCAAGACCTGTCCCAAAGTGTCACTGGCGCTGCCATTTCTCTCAGTGCCCAGGGAGCTCGAGCACCCTCCTCCCTCCCCAAGGCAGCCAGCCTCCCGGCCCACTTCCAGCCACACACCCCGGCAGGGGGGCTGAACCGAGACCCAGCTGCAGCCGTATATCCCAAGGCAGCCTGCTATCACCTGCCCCTCCAGCTGTCACAGGCCAGGGCAAACTCACTGAACCCCAGGATTTCCACATCGCCACCACCCGACACCTCCCACACCCCCTCTTGCTCCCTGGGCCCGCCCCGCCACCTCACACGAGCACCAGGCGGACAACAGGGAACCGTCAGTGCCAGCTCCGAACCCCTGATCCTCAGATCACAGAAGCAGCTGTCTGCTCCCCTCATTTTGCTGGGATGATTTGGGGATGGCCAGATGACTCTGCCCTCCTGCCCCTCTTCCCATGTCCTTACCAACTGCTGGACACTGATGACATCCATGGTCCCCCCCCGCTCTCCAGGCCCCCAGTGAGGAGGGCGGGGGTGGCAGCCCTTTTATAGACGAGCTGTCTCCTGGGGACAGGCAGGGCGGGACAGGCTGCGCCGAGCCGGATGACTCTGTGGCTCTGTAACACCCACCAAAATACCAGCATGGCCTGCAGGCAGGGCGGGAGCTGTTCCGAGCCGAGTTGGGTGCATCCTCGGACACCCCCATCCTGCACCTGTGCCATCCCACACCTGCTCCGGAGCAATTCCACCAGACACATGTCCTGGGGGGCCTGGGCCACTGGCCCAGATTCAGGGGGAAATAGTTCCCATTTCCCTAAGTCCAGACAACATTTATGAAAAAGTGTGCCCTGGCCAGTTTGGCTCAGCGGTTAGAGCGTCAGCCTGTGATCCGGAGAGACCCGGGTTCGGTTCCCGCTAAGGGCACGTATCTCGGTTGCAGTTTGTCCCTGGCCCTGGTTGGTCGTGCGGGTGGCAGCCACTCGACGTGTCCCTTTCACGTCGATGTTTCTCTCTCTCTCTCTCCCTTCCTTTCTCTCCCTCCCACTCTATCTGTACAAAAAATGGAAAAAATATCCTCGGGTGAGGATAAAAGAAAAAAAGAAAAAGTCAAGTGTGAGCCTGCACACTGCTGTAGGTCTGGCTGCCCGAGACCCCGAAAGGCCCCGTCCACCCGCTCTGGTGAAAGGCCGGAGTCCTGGGGGAGCCGGGAAGGACAGGCCCAGGAACCCTCATGGCACCGACAGGAAGAAATCAGGCTTCAAGGGACTTCCCAGCTCCCAACCAGTGTCAAGTCTGCACCCCACTCTTGGTATGCCCCCGACAGTGCCCCCACTTCTCCCTCACCACTCTGAGGGCCAGCATATTAAATCTGACCATCAGGGGTCAAGTCTAGCCTGTCACCAGCACCTCAGCCCTCAAAGACCCATCCATGCCCACACGCAGGTCCCCACAGACACTCCTGGCGTGGGGCATGTCTGCATAGGGAGGCAAGACTGGCATCTGCTTCAGGTCCAAGTGCACACACATGATCATGAATCCAGGAACAAAGCAACCTGTCACAAGCCAGAGTCAGACTTCCTAATCGTCCCTAAAATGCCAACATGCCCTTCAACCAGCTGTGCCTTGAACTCTGCCTTGACCTTTGAAAGGAAACCTGATAGCCAGTAAATAGGACTCCAGAAAGGGAGCAACATGAGCAGAGATGACCAGCCGGGAGCAGGGCACTGCAGGTCAAGGACAGCCCGGCCCCGAAGGGCTGCCAACGGCCCCGCCACAGCTTGCTGGCTACCTTGTAAGTTCTTGCCAGTTCTGAGACCAGAGTTTTTTTAAAGAAACTCTGTATGCTTCAGGGTGTTCTGTCAAAAGTGCTTTCTTGCCTTTCCTCATGGGGAGGGAAAGGGTCACCCAGACCAAGAGCGCAGAGACGAGAAGGCTGGGCGAGCTCTGGGCCTGCCGCCTGCCCACACCTCCTCCCCGACACCCCGGTGGCTTCATCCGAGACTCAGCGCAGAACTGGTTTCTTCCACACGAAACTAACTGGTATGAACTGACTTATTAAAAATGAGTCCTTGTAAAATCCATACAGGACAAATAAAGCCCAGTGAGTGCCCCTGGACTGGCACCCTCACCAGCAGCCCTGGGGAACCAGTCACCGGTTCGCTATGTATCCTCTGACTTCGCTCCTGTGATTTTTATTTTTAAAATCCCCCCCCCCTTATTGATTTTAGAGAGAGAGGAAGTGAGAGGGAGAGAGAGATAGAAACATCGATTAGAGAGAACATCCACTGGCCGCCTCCCGCATGCCCCCCACTGGGGATCAGGCCCACAACCTGGGCATGTGCCCTGACTGGGAATCAAACCGGCGACCTCTTGGTGCAGGTTCGACGCTCAACCACTGAGCACACCGGCCAGACTCATTCCTGTGATTCTGTGAATGTACATACATGTTTCTCCAGACATGTCTGAAGAGGCATCCTACTATGATCATGCTTCCCAATGCGCTCGAATGATATCATCTCCCTATCGGGAGCACCTTGGTGATCTAACATTACACCCCAGGCTCGAATGTGCATCTTTGTAAAGAAGCATCGTTGTAAATGCCTCCGTAAACAAGCGTCTGTAGATATGGATGAATATTTCTCTAGGCAGCTACAGAGAAATCAAGGTATTGGTCCTGTTCATTTAATTTAATAGATGTTGCCAAACTGCCACCCACAGTGGCTGTACCAATGTCCATGAACCGACACCAACAATGTTAAGACAAATGACAATATGAAAGGAAATACATATCTGTTTTTTATACATATATAAAATAAATATATATATATACCCCAGCCAGTGAGGCTCAGTGGTTGAGCGTCAACCCATGCACCAAGAGGTCGCCAGTTCGATTCCCAGTCAGGGCACATGCCCAGGTTGCAGGCTGATCCCCAGTGGGGGGCATGCAGGAGGCAGCCAATAGATGTTCTCTCTCATAGATGTTTCTCTCTCTCTCTCTATAAAATCAATGAAGAAAAGTATTTATAAAACATCTATGAATAGATACATGTAATAGAACCAATATCCAGAAGGCATAAACAACTCCTATGAGTCAATAAAAAGAAAAAAGTTTTAATGGCAAAGAATGTGACTAGAAGTTCACAGAAGACAGATGTCAACCTCACTAGTAATCAGCAATTCAAAATGAAACAAAGTAACAGCACTTTTAAATCTATCCGTTTATAAAAATGAAGTTATGGTGAAAAACCGTGACCAGGTTTGAGGAAGCGTGTGTCTGATACATTGCTTGCAGCACGCCAGGGACTCTGTCCAGTGCTCCTCGCCTATTCAAACTCTGATCCCCACAATGGCTTTGAGGCCCTATTATAATCATTCTAGTCTGGCAGATGAGGACAGTGACTTTCACCAAGGCCCCTCAGCTAGCAAGCTTTTAATTTGTTACATATTCCATAGTTTCTTCTAATACTTACTTATATAGTTTTGTGGGTTTCAGTTTAGGTCGTTTTTTTTTTAAGAGTTTAAAAAAATTTTTTTAATTTCTTGATTTTAGAGACAGAGGAGAAGGGAGGAGGGCGAGAGAGAGAGAGAGAGAAACATCTGTTTGTTGTTCCATTATTTATGCACTCATTGGTTGATTCTTGTATGTGTGCCCTGAGGGGGAATTGAACCCACAACCCTGGAGTATTGGGACGATGCTCTAACCAACTGAACTACTCAGCCAAGGCCAATTTAGGTCTTTAATCTATTTGAAATTTAATTTTGGGCATGGGAGGAGGTAAGGATATAACTTTATTTTTTCCCAACAGATAGATGTTTCCACATGAACTAATTTAGAATAGGATCACCTGCTCAGGCTTAAGCACTTGCAGTCCCCCAAGTCTACTCCCTCACTTCAGCTGCCAAAATCGGGCTCTTCCTGGGCCTCTGGGCCTGTTTCCTACCCTGCAGCATGGATGCTGACCGCAGCAGGGGCCTGGAGATCTGGTCTGTGTGCCCTTCACAGCAGCCTGAGACAAGGGTGCAGTTCAGCTGGCCAGCAGGTCCCGCAGTTCACTGTGGCAGGGCAGCAGGTCACATGCTAGTCTTGCCTTCCGATCCCGGACGGCCTTCAGGGCCGGGCTGTGTTGCAACAAAAGGGTGCAGATGTCCATGTGACCCTTCTCAGCAGCCTGCGGAGAGAGCGACATGAGTCAAAAATCACCCCCTTACCCAGCTGGTGTGGCTCAGTGGATTGAGCGTCGTCCCATGGACTGAGAGGTCCTGGTTTGATTCCCGGTCAGAGCACCTGCCCGGGTTTCAGGCTTGATCCCCAGTGGGGGGTGTGCAGGAGGCAGCTGATTGATGTTTCTCTCTCACATCAATGTTTCTATCTCTCCTTTCCTCTCTAAAAAAATCAATAAAAACATATTAAATAAACAAACACAGTCACGCTCTCATTGGGCCCTGCTCTTTCTTGCTGTACTTTTGGGGATCTCGGTCCTCCTGGAAATGGAGAGACAGTCTGTTTGAGTAGACTTCCCCTAATTCCTGTCCAATCCCATGACCTGCATGCAGATGGGCAGAGTACTCTAGAGGCATTCTGGCAGTTAGCTTGAATTTTTGGTTCTTATGTTCTTGTTCAGTGGCCATTCTTTGTCCCGGCCGCACACGGAAGACAAGTACAGAACCTCAGTGAACTTAGGGAGGGCCTCAAGAGCATAAAAAAGGACCAGTTAGAAATCATGGATGCACAGTTAGAATTGAAGGAGGCATTAACTGAAATAAAGAATAATTTACACAGCGTCAATAATAGAGTCTGTAAATCCAAGGAGCAAACCATCGATTTGGAATATAAGGAAGCAAAAAATGCCCAATCAGAACAGCAAAAATAAAAAAGAATCCAAAAAAATGAGGATAGTGTAAGGAGCCTCTGGGCCAACTTCAGGCGTGCCAACATTCGCATCTTGGGGGTGCCAGAAGGAGAAGAGAGAAAACAAGAAATCGAAAGCCTGTTTGAAACAATAATGGCAGAAAACTTTCCTAACTTGGTGAAGGAAAGAGACATACAAGTCCAGGAAGCACAGAGAGTCCCAAACAAGATGAACCCCAAGAGGCCCACACCAAGACACATCATCATCAAAATGCAAAAGGTTCAAGACAAAGAGAGAATCTTAAAAGCAGCAAGAAAAAGGCAGCTAGTTACCTACGAGGGAGTTCCCATTAGGCTGTCAGCTGATTTCTCAAAAGAAACTTTGCAGGCCAGAAGGGAGTGGCAAGAAATATTGAGAGTGATGAAAAGCAAGAACCTACAACCAAGATTACTCTATCCTGCAAATCTGTCATTTAGAATTGATGGCCATATAAAAACTTTCCCAGACAAGAAAAAGTTAAAGGAGTTCATCACCACCAAACCGTTATTATATGAACTGATGAAGGGTCTTTTTGAAGAAAAAGATAAAAAACATGAACAAACAAAATGGCAATGAATACATATCTATCGACAATGGAATCTACAAACAAAATGAACAGGTAGAACAGAAACATTCTCATAGATACAGAGAACAGTTTGTTGGTTGCCAGTTGGGAGGGGGGTTGGGGGAATGGGTGAAAAAGGTGAAGAGATTAAGAAGTACAAATTCATTACTAGACTGACAAACCTCAAAGGGAAAGGGGTTGGGGGGGTGGGAAGAAATAAAACAAAGAACTTATATGCATAACCAATGGACGCGGACAATAGTGTGAGAAAAGGCGGGAGGGGGGCGGGAGTGGGGAGGAGGGGGTCAATGGGGGAAAAATGTGGAACATCTGTAATACATTTTACATCCAACAATAAAGATTAAAAAAAAATAATAAAAATAAATAAAATAAAAAATAAAAAAAAAACGAAACAGGAGACATTACAACAGAATTTATAATTTTTACAAACAAATTTGTAAAGATACAAAGTATTGTTAAAGAATACTATGAACAATTATATGCCAAAAGATTGGATAATCTAGCGGAAATGGTAATTTTCAAGAGGCATACAACTTCCCAAAACTGAACTAGAAAAAAAAAATAGAAAATCTAAACAGACTGACTACTAGCAATAAAATTGAAGCAGTAGTCCAAAAACTCCCAACAGCCCTGGCCAATTTGGCTCAGCTGTTAGAGCGTCGGCCTGTGGTCCAGAGAAACCCAGGTTCGGTTCCTGCTGAGGGCATGTACCTTGGTTGCAGTTTGTCCCAGACCCTGGTTGGGTCGTGCAGGTGGCAGCCACTTGATGTGTCCCTTTCATGTCGATGTTTCTCTCTCTCTCTCTTCCTCTCTCTCCCTCCCACTCTATCTGAACAAAAAAATGGAAAAATGTCCTTGGGTGAGGATGAAAAAAAAAAATCTGGCCCTGGCCAGTTTGGCTCAGTGGTTAGAGTGTCGGCCTGCGGTCCGGAGAGACCCGGGTTCGGTTCCCGCTAAGGGCACGTACTTCGGTTGCAGTTTGTCCCCGGCCCTGGTTGGTCGTGCGGGTGGCAGCTACTCGATGTGTCCCTTCACGTCGATGTTTCTCTCTCTCTCTCTCCCTTCCTCTCTCTCCCTCCCACTCTATCTGTACAAAAAATGGAAAAATATCCTCGGGTGAGGATTAAAAAAAAAAAAAAAAATCTGCCAACAGCCCAGCTGATGTGGCTGGGTGGACTGAGCATCATCCCATGGACTGAGAGGTCCCTGTTCAATTCCCAGTCGGGGCACCTGCCGGGATTGGATTGAGCCACCCAGCAGGGGATGTCAGGAGGCAGCCGACTGATGTTTCTCTCTCCCTCTTCTCTCTTTCTCTGCAACATCAATAAAAACATTAAAAAAAACAATATATACACACACACACTTCCCAACAAACAAAAGTCAAGACCAGATGGCTTCATAGGTGAATTCTACCAAACATCTACAGAACACTTATCCTTAAATTATTCCAAAAAAAACAGAAGAGGTGCCCTGGTTGGTTTAGCTTAGTGGTTAGAGCATGGGTCCGTGGACCAAAGGGTCACAGGTTCAATTCCCAGCAAAGGGCACATACCTGGGTTGCAAGTTCAATCCCCAGCCCCAGTCAGGGTTGTGCAGAAGGCAACCAATCGATGTCTCTCTCTTACGGATGTTTCCCTCTCTCTCCCTCTCCCTCCCTTCCACTCTAAAAATCAATGGATGTCCGGCCAGTGTAGCTCAGTGGTTGAGTGTCGACCCATGCACCAAGAGGTCACTATTTTGATTCCCAGTTGGGGCACATGCCCAGGTTGTGGGCCCAGTCCCCAGTGGGGGGAGGGCATGCAGGAGGCAGCCAGTTGATGTTCTCTCTCATGGATGTTCCTATCTCTTTCTACCTCTCCTTTCCTTTCTCTCTAAAATCAATGGAGTCCCCATCAAAATACTAATGGCTAATACAAAATACTAATACTTCACAGAATTAGAACAAGTACTTCAAAAGTTCATATGGAACCAAAAAAGACCCCGAATAGCCACAGCAATCTTGAAAAGGAAGAACAAAGCTGGAGGGATCACATTAGGAGATTTCAGGTTATACTACAAAGCCACTCTAAGCAAAACAGCCTGGTACTGGCACAAGAACAGGCATATAGACCAGTGGAACAGAACAGAGAACCCAGAAATGGACCCAAGGCAATACGCTCAATTAGTATTTGACAAAGGTGGCAAGAGCATACAGTGGAGTAAGGACAGCCTCTTTAATAAATGGTATTGGGAAAATTGGACAGCTACATGCAGAAAAATGAAACTAGACCATCAACTTACACCATACACAAGAATAAACTCAAAATGGATAAAAGACTTAAATGTGACTCATGAATCCATAAAAATCCTAGAAGAAACTGTAGGCAACAAAATTTCAGATATCATACGCAGCAGAATTTTCACTGATATTCACTGATACATCACCTAAGGCAATAGAAACAAAGGAGAGCCCTGGCCAGTTTGGCTCAGCGGTTAGAGCGTCGGCCTGCGGTCCGGAGAGACCTGGGTTCGGTTCCCGCTAAGGGCACGTACTTCGGTTGCAGTTTGTCCCTGACCCTGGTTGGTCGTGCGGGTGGCAGCCACTCGATGTGTCCCTTCACATCGATGTTTCTCTCTCTTTCTCTCCCTCCCACTCTATCTGTACAAAAAATGGAAAAATATCCTCGGGTGAGGAAAAAATAAAAATAAATAAAAAAAAAAAATAGAAAAAAAGAAACAAAGGAGAAAATGAACACATGGGACTACATCAAACTCAAAAGCTTCTGCACAGCGAAAGATACAATCATCAAAACGGAAAGGCTACCTACTGTATGGGAGAGCATAATTGCCAATGATATATCAGATAAGGGGTTAATTTCATACAACTCCACAAAAGGAAGACAAAGAACCAAATTAAAAAATGGGCAGAGGAACTAAATAGACACCTGTCCAAACAGGACATACAAATGGCTAAGAGACATATGAAGAAATGCTCATCATCACTAATCATCAGAGAGATGCAAATTAAAACAACAATGAGGTATCACCTCACACTTGTCAGAATGGCTGCCATCAACAAATCATCAAACAACAAGTGTTGGCGAAGGTGTGGAGAAAAGGGGACTCTCATACACTGCTGGTGGGAATGCAGACAGGTGCAGCCACTATGGAAAACAATATGGTGTTACCTCAAAAAATTAAAAATTGAACTTCCATTTGACCCAGTGATCCCACTTCTAGGAATATACCCTAAGAAGCCTGAAACACCAATCAGAAAGAATATATGTACCCCCATGTTCGTAACAGCACTATTTACAATAGCTAAGATCTGGAAACAGCCCAAGTGTCCATCAGTAGACGAATGGATAAAAAAGCTGTGGTACATATACACAATAGAGTACTATGCAGCTGTAAGATAGATCTCTTATCCTTTGAGACTACATGGAGGGACCTGGAAAGTATCATCCTAAGTGAAACAAGCCAAACAGAGAAAGACAAGTATCATATGATCTCACTTATTTGTGGAATATAATGAACATAACAGTCTGAGGAATGGGGTAGTCCCAGAGACCTGGAAGTGGGGTACAGACTGACAATCCCCAGAAGAGGGGGATGTTGGGGAGAGATAAACCACAGAACTTATATGCATATATGCATGAACAGTGGACATGGACAACAAACTGGGGACAGGGCAGGGAGGGAGGGGAAGGGGGGA